TTCTTAACAGAAGTCAGGAAATATTCATCCAACAGTTTTCATGGAGGAAATCACCAGGAGTTTCACATTATAAATACTTGAAGCAGTAAAACAGAGCATCACATCAGCACAAAACAAAGGAGTTAGAAAGAGGAAAATGGATTACAGTAACACCGGAATCACTCAGATTATGTAAAAAAGTTGATATTGCACTTTAATCACTCCACACTGTCAACAGACTAAATAAAAACTGGGAACATCTAAGTTCATACTGGTTCAGTTTCCACACTAACAGGAATTAAAAACAGCTCACCTCTCTGATGGTGGAGCAGAGATTTAAAGTTAATGTCTTCCTTTGACCAGTCGCTCTTAAAGGGACACCAGCTGGGTTCTGGTTCTGGTTCTGGTTCTGGTTTGAGTCTCTGATGGATCCTGACAGAAACATGATGATTAAAACTGAATCAGCAAAGAGGAGCAGCAGCAGCTTCATCACCACGTCTGTTCTGGCCTGATATAGTGAACGCTGTGTGAAAAGGGCTGTGGACAGTTAGAGATGGTGACCTCACCTCTGACCTTTGCTCTGGCTCTCATCTTCCCCACACAGAGTGGTTTTAGAGGGAGGGACTCCCTCCTGTCTGTCCTCACACTGATCCATGCTGCTGAATCCACATCAGCTCACACACACTTTCTAGCTTCACCTGCAGAGGAAACACACATCATTCATCTGCACATCAACTCTGATCATCCTTTACATCATTAGTGCTGGAAAAAGATCAGCTGCTCCTCCTCTGATTGGCTCTTCTTCTCTATTTTATATCAGTGTCAGGTGAATGCAGTCAGACAGCAGAGAGGCAGAGGAAGCTGCCATCAGCTGCTGCACTTCTACTATCAGTCCACTAGATGGAGACATGGAGCAACATTTACGTTCACTGATTCAACCTGAACAAGTCTTATAGTTCACAATTAGTAATAAATACAAGTGGATTATTTGCTCCATTAAATGTTAACTATTTAATAATTTGACTGAATCAATAATAATATTTTAATAATATTTTATTTTGAAAGGAAGCAACAGGAAACTGTTGCTGACATTAATGGTGGAGACTAGAGTTCAGTACCAGGAAATAAAAACATGAATTAGTTCGGAGAAGAAAACAGTGAAACATCAGCTGTTCATCATGTTGATTGATTCCAGTTCATCAATAATCTAATAATTCTGCAGATTAGCCTTCAAACAGCAGATATTAAAGTTTCAGCTGAAATCAGAAGTGAAACTTTTCTACAAACATCAGAGAATAGACAATCTGGAAAAAGTTAAAGTGATGAAAAAGTTCAAGAAATAAACAAATCAAACTTACAGTTTGTTCAAACGATCCAAAGAGTTAAAGAAGAAAATTTAAACAACAAACTGAAACCCAACAAACAGACTGGAGCCACACCTATTCAGGTAAATTCAAACTGAAAGTAAATGTGAAGGATGTTGTATAACTGATGATGTCACAGCTGAGTTTTTTTTTCCTTCAGAGCAACAGAACCAGGAAGTAGAAGCTCTGAGGTGAAATCAGAGACAGGTTGATAAATCTTCATGAGGAAGGAGAGAAGTTCTGATAAAATGATGGTGTACTTTCTTTTCATCATGACTGTAGTGATGATTGATAGTGACAAAAAATGAAGAATAGTATTTTAGTTTATTTGTCATGTCATAAAGGAAAAAATGTGAAAATGCATTTTTCAAACAAACATTTTCACCAAGTCATCCATACGTTGATTCCAAATTAAATATTTAATTCACAATCTAAATATTTACTTTGATTGAAAACAAAATTTTTTGAAATCAAACTTTCGCTAAATGTTTGGCTTCAAAAAAATATTTATTTTCCAAAGTAAACATTTAATTTTCTAATTCAGTTTTTATTTTCAAAGCTACATATTTAATTATCTTTTTTCATGTCTAGTTGTTCAGACGCTCCATCATGTTGACATGTTTCAGTTTTTCTCCATTCAGCAACAGTTGGTGATCAGGGTTTAATCCAGTTTAGTCTAATTGTCTTTCTTGCTACCAGCAGCAGAAGGTGCAACAATATGTAACATTGATGTTTAGTGAGTAAATCCTTGGTGTTTATGTCCAGCAGAAACAGAAGAGGCTCCATGGGGAGATCTGTCCTCAGAATGTCCTCAGTCTCCTGTTTCATTTCCTCCCAGAAAGTCTTTATTTGTGGTCAGAACCAGAAGACGTGTGTGATGACCGACCATTCAACACATTCCTCCAACATCCATCTGTGGTTGGAATCCTGAAAATGAACGTTTTGAAAGGAGTAACACTTTATTTGACACAGTGTGTTCTATTAAATCTGGTTTTTACTTTCCAGTCAAACTCTTTGCACGTTTGATTTCCAATCCTTTTATGGCACAAAGATGCAAATGAGAAAACTCCACTTCTTGTTTTATCAATCTCCAGTTCAATCCAGTAAATTGATTAACTCAATTTTCCAAACAATCCACAAATGGAGACCCCAAACTGGACCATATTGATAGTTTTGACCTCATTCCTCTTCAGAGATACCACTGCAAACTCGTATCAATGGCTCCTCAGAATGACCAGTGGGACGCTCTGCTGGATGGAGACTGAACTACAACACTAAAAGAGTTTTAAACTCACTTTTCAGTTTGCTAATTGAACAAATTTTATTCTGTAAGATAATAAATTGCATGGTTACACAAAACCAATAAAAAAGGTAACTATTGCCACATTATGGAGTAATCAATCATGGTGAATATCTGCCACAAAAAGTCATTCTTGAACAAGATGATTTTTCCCAGAAGACAGTATTACATTTTAATAAAAAGTTGGGTGGAAAGAAAAACTGGTGAAATAAAGGATGCACATATGAAATTCACCATTTCTGGAACAATGATATTCCAACATATGTGAAGTAGATTTTTCTTTAAAGAGAAAATGTTTTATTTGCATCATACAGTCTTCTTTTATGTATCACATAAATGTAATTGTATCATAGTCAAGATGTTTTTCGGTGCAGCTGCAGAGGGTGTACAAACTAACTGAACAAGATGCGTCTGCTGAAGTTTCCCGGGCGGGTCGTCTGGGAACTTAATCTTCTCCTCTGTTAGCTGAGAGGTGAATAAAGCAACTATGTAACTCTGAGTTCGTTAGAGCAGATTTAGATTTTCGCCTAATGCAGAGTATATTTTTCCCTCTGTCTGCAGATGTATTAAAGATTGTTTTTGCTCCCTGAACTTGGACTAGACTTGTGCACTTCACACATATTCAGATGAACTTTTATGGTTAGTTCACAATGAAAAAATCTGAGTGGATTTCATCTGAACATTAATTCAATCTGGAGAGACTTAGATGGAGAAAATGGAAACCATTAGAAGAGTTTATTGACATACAAAATTTAAGTCTTTGGCGCTTGGGCCCCGGCTGAGGACATCGATCATCACAATCTTTGCGATGAGCTTGGATGAGCATTCCATATGCTGAAAGGAACGTCATCCCCCGAGACCAGACATTGGTGATGGAGGTGAAGAAAGGATGCAGCCGGAGAGCCGAGCGAGTGGAGGTGAAGGGGTGGAGGAGGGTTGAGCTCTGCTGGACAGCAGAAGACGCCATGGACGGTGCTATTTATCAGCTGGGACTTGGACAGTGATTGGACGTGACGCGTCTTGGACCAGCGTTGATTAATCAATGGTGATGAACAGGAAGCAACGGTTGGATGATGCAGGTGGGGTTAGAAGAGACTTCCAGTTGAATTTGCACCTTTTTCCTCACAAAGTGCAATAAGATCTATTATAAATTTGCACAGTATAAATACACTGATTTCACTGTGAAAATTACGTTTTTAGTCTGTAGTGTAAGAAATAAAAGACATTTCCATACAAGTCTTAAATACTTTATACAAAATATTGAGTGGAAATCATACACAGTGAGACAGATTTAAAGAGACGTGACAGTCCAATGAAAACTCCAGATAAATGCAGTGATTTATGGTCAAAAGTTACAAAAATGTGCAATAATTAAAAAAACCTAAAGTGAAATCTTAACTTGGCACAAGGAAATATTTGCTCCCATCAACAGAAACATTGAATTACTGAGGGAAGGTAAGAGGCTAGATCTGTAGTTTAATTTCATCCATTAAAAAGCTGCTGAAACAAAAAGAGTTCAAAATAAATCGCTGTCTACAGAAAATACAAAGAAATGGTAAATAAAAAAACATGGGATTGATACTCAGCATGACAGATTACAGCTTACATAAAATCACTAAAATGAAAAATACAAAATGTTAAGGACATCAGTCTGGAGAAACACGATGCAAATTATAACCATTACAAGATAAAGAGATTAAAAATAAACAAAAAATAAAACATCATTTTTATAATTAAGGCCACTCGTATGAAGAGCAGAATAAAAAACAAAAAAGGAGAGAAATGTAAACTTGTAATTATTCCAACTCAAGTCCTGCTGTGCAACTCAGTTTGTAACAAAACCCCAAAAAACTTAAAAATGTCAAAAAATGGATCAGAAATCAGATCAAATCTTTAAAAGGGAAATAAATATACAAAAATATAAATAAAATGGTCATGACATGCAGAAAACAGAGAAATAAAAATTACTCCCAATAGAGAATGAAATGAAGCGATGAGTTAAATTCAAACATTTTTCATGTGAAAACGAGGATTAGCATCGTTTCTGCATGACAAGGCATTTTCCTGCTCAAACTGTTAGAAAACAAATTGTGATTTGTAGTTTTTCTTTGCTAAGTGAAGTGAAATATTTGACTTGTGTTCATTAAAAACAGGGATTTCTTTCCTTTACATGAACACACATTCACAGCTTGCAGAGTGTAAGGCTTGAACCACTTGGCCACACTTTGGGAGGGGTGGGTTGGATTTATTGCACAAGAACACTCGGGGCGGGTGGGTTCTTATTCGGCCCTTTGACAGGTTCTGGATGGGTTCTGTCTCCTCAGACTTAAAAAAATGTGAAGTTGAAGAAACTGGAAGCTGGTGAGGTTTTACACAGCAGCCAAGACAGGTCAGAGGTCAAAGCAGTGCCACTGCATCAAGCAGAGCCTCATCTTCCCTCCTCTGCTGATCGGGTCTCGGACTTGAGCCGGACGAACTCCTTGGCGACGTCGTCGTTGGAGCGCTGGGAGAGGATCCGCATGGCGGTCAGGCCCGTGTCGTCCATGGAGATGCGCTGCCCCAGGGGGCACCAGCAGGCGCAGTTGCCCCTCTCCATGATGTCCCTCAGCTGCACCACAGCCAGGCCCACCACCCGGTCGGCGCGGCCGAAGCAGTAGTCCTTGACGCAGGCTTGAACCTCGTAGCACTCGAACCCGTCCTGAACACCCAGAACGCTGCAGAGCGAGAGCAGAACACAGGAGTGGGAGCACATGGGCTAGGGCGCTAATTGCAGAGCTAATTCCTGATTTTGTGCTTTTTCTGAAACTTTAAAAACATTCGTACACCTAGATTTTGCTGATCTAATTTTCCATTTTAAATCAAAACATTTTACTTTGATTTGAGGTCCACATCTGCAGTGGTAGATTACACTATTGCTAATCTGCTAATGTGCTAATAGCTGAGCAAATTTGTTGTGCAACACATTTTGATTCCCCTAAATCAGTTTTCAAGTTAAATTCTAAAGCACTAATGTACTTTTGCTGTTTTCTAGACTTCAGTTGAATAAAGTTTGACATCTGCAGTAGAAGGGACACTTCCATTAGCTGCTAATGTGCTAATAGTAGAGCTAATTTTAGCTTTTTTATAACTTTTAAAACTATTGCCACACAATTAATTTCTTAAAATAAATCCAGATTATATTTGGAAAAGTTAAATTTGAGGAACTTCACTAAATGTTTAGCAGAAACACTAAATGAACAATTAGCTCTGCTGCTAGCGCATTAGCTGACATTGTCCAGTAATTTCACAAGGACTTTGTTTTGTGTAACCAACAGTTTATGAAGTCAGAATTAAAAGAGCTTCAAATCCTAAATGTGTCACGACGTTTGGTTTTGAACTTACAAGTGAAAGGTCTCGTTGTATTTGGGAGACCAGCTGTTGTTCTTGGATTTGGTCTGAAATCGGCGCTTCTTGTCGCTGAGGTGCGGCCCGATCATCGTGACTTCCACGAAGGGTCTGAACATCCCAGACGTCTGCCACTTCAAATCACTGGCTGCAATCACTGCATCAATGACACAAACATTTAAACAGAAATGACACTAAAATGCTGCAGCTTTGATTTCATTGGTTCAAAATGAGCCCAAACGGACCTTTGAGAGTAACTTTCCGCTCTCCGCTCTTGGGATGAGTGTACAGCTCAATCTGCAGGGAAACCTCTCCGATGGGTTTGTCCACACCTGAGCCTGGTATAACACAAACAACATTTGGTCCAATGCAGGCAAAGAAAACCACGTTTTATAGAGTCATGCGACAGAAACGCAGGTTTCACAAAACAGAAGAGAGAAAACGATGAAGGGAAGTTGGGCTGATGATGATTTCATGGAGACCTACCCCTGCTGGGCTGGATTTTCTCATTAGGGGTTAACCTAATACCCTTCCCATTGTGCACTGGCACAGAGGCAGCAGGAGATAAAAACAAGACAGCAACTTAAACAACCAAATCCAGGAGATAAAAGCAGCGAGGAATCTGAAACTCTCCCGTATTTAATCTCCTTTGAGGCGCTTTGGATCTACCCTGTGAATGCTGCGTGGTCACGAAGGTTTTGATGAGCGTGTCGGTGGTCTGGGTGTAGAGCGACAGAGCGTGGCGGAGCGACGAAAGCTCAGCGCTCTTCTCCAGGAAAGTCTTCTTCAAGCCGTTCCCGCCCGCATGAAAGTATTGCTGCGTAGGAAACAAAACGAGAGGAATCAGCGTTCTACAACCTGAATGATTAAACTTAAAGTGGAGTTAATCAGACTTTTAGTTAATCAACTAAAAGACTCTTAAAATGTGAATGAATTGTACTTTTCTGTTTGACCAGAGGTCAACGTTTCGCTCTCACCTTGATGGTATCCAGAGCCACATCCATGACGGCACACTGCCTGGGCGTCAGGCTTTTAGCGTCTCCTGCCATGTGATCCTAAACAACCCAAACCAAGACTTTGACTAGACCAATTCACAGGAGAAAGCAAACTCAAAGGCAACCTGATACCTTCAGTTTGGAAAGGTGTCCCAGTTCTTTAGCAGCAGAAAGGATCTGTGCTCCCTTCAGGAAAAACAGAAAAATGAATGATTCTTTTAGTTTTCAGAAGCCTTGTTTCAATTTTAAGTATCATATTAGTGAAGTTTGATGGAGATGGAAAAAAAGCATCGATACAACTCATGTTCAGACGTAAAGTGAGTTATTTATCTGCTCTATATGTGATTGGATGATGTTCAGTTTGTTGACTAATAATTAAACTGAATATTCCACAGTCATCATTTTAAAACATAATGGATAAAAATATTTTTTGTGTTTGGTCACGTCTGTCAAAATGTTTACATCTCATCATCTGACACAATTACGAGTTGATCCATTTCAAAATGGCAGCCATGTTTCCATCCAGCTATGATTCAAATTTGAGAAAATTTTTATAATAATGTATAAAAGAAAATGCAAATTACACTGCAAAACCATAAACTCTTACCCAGTATTTTTGCTCTAGTTTCTAGTGCAAATTTGACGAATGTGAATTACAACATTTAACTTTTCTTTTGGGATCAATAAAGTATGTTTGAATTTGAATTTTGAAATATCTCAGCACATTTTAAATAAGACAAAAGTAACTTAATAGTAACTTATCAGAAGAAGAAGCTTGTTTTAAGTAGATAATTCCTCAATATTGATTAAAAAAAGTAGTTGGCAGATTATTTAATTTAAGGGAAAATGATTTGTTATAAGTGAAATAATCTGTCCTGCACAAAATAAGTTCATTATATTTATTTTGCACAAAATTATTGAAATAAAATGAGATTTTAGTCTGATTATTATTTCCCTTATAACATTGCAAAAATATTTTGATTTAGGTGAAATAATCAAATTTGATCAGCAATATTAAGAAATTATTGACTTAAAACAAGCTTCTATTTCTTGCTGAAAAGCTACTTGTGAGTTAGTTTTCTCATTTTTCTGCTGTTCTAAGATAGTTTCACTGACAACTAGATCAAAAATATTTGGTAAGATTGTGTTTTTGTCATATAATTCACACTTTTTGACAACATTTCAAAACCATCTGGATGGAAACCTGTCCAGTGACGGAGACGAGCGTCAGACTCACCAAGGTGTCGTTCCCTTGCGGCAGGACGATGTTCTTCTCCAGGCTGGTCATCACGATCCTCCACAGCTCCTTCAGAACGCGCTTCAGGACGGTTTTCTCACACACCGTGGCGAACAGCGTTAATCTGCAAAAACAAGACGTTCACACACACGCCGACGGACGAGCCGTGTTTGGGGAAATCCCACTGAACCCACTGCGCATCCAGGAAGTCCATGAGCGGCCGCAGCATGTTGTCCGAGTCGCCCTCCACCTGGTTCTTGGTGTTTTCGTTGAGCGGTCCTTTGATCTGGTACAGCAGCGACGCCATCTGCCGCATGCAGTCGGTGATGCGGCTCTGGAAGCTGCAGGAGAAGAAAAGCCAGTGATGCACTGGGACAAAGTGGGGGAAACGTGGGGGTGTGAGGGCGGCGTACCTGTTCCCAAACGTGCTGCTGAGGTCGTCCAGAACGTTGTTGAGCCGAACCTGCAGGTCGTTGAGCAGGTCGCTGGCCTCCGTGTCCATCTGGAGGAGAGAAACCTTCACGTTCAAAAGGCTGACAAAAGGTTTTAGAGAAAGAAAAAGGGAAATAAAACTGGGAAGTTTTGGGATTTTACTGAGACTCAGAACCTGGAAGCTAAATTACTTCTAAAGCTGAATTATTACAAAACACCTGAGAGTCTACGGTTGCATTACGAGTCCGTTAAACACCTTGTTGGTGTAGTTTGCATTTCTACTCATAATAACATGCATGTTACAGTTCACCTCCTGTAACACGCATGAACTCACCTCATGATCCTCACATGCATTTTCTCTCTATGTGGCAGAAAGTTGGGAGGTAAAACAAGACATTTTGGATGAAATGCCCCATTTTGACACTCATCAAGTGGGAAATTGCTTATTAAGAATCTAATTTAGGATATTCTGCTTGTGCCTACCTTCTCAAACGGTTCGTCCATCTTTGTGTCAGAAAATTGTTAGAGATATAAAAAAACACAAACAGTGTCAAACTGTCTTGAAGAGGTGGAGGAGCTGTATAAATCCAAATGATTTCTGGACTTTTTGGTGAATATTAAGGTGATTTAATCCCAGATAACATGTTTAACCCACCTCATCCTTCTCAGTCTATCACACATGGTTTAGAAAAGGAACAAAATAAAGTGTTAAAATGAAAAAATACAGTTGAAGGTGACGTGAAAGTGGCGCTTTTATGGGAAATAAGGGAAAATGCTGCTAATCTAAAGAGGAAATCCTCACAGATGAGAATCAAACCAGACAACAAAACTCCACCATGTTGGATGTTTTAGTTTCAGTTTGGGGAAAATCTTTGGAAATGACTTTGGATTTGGAGAATGAAGGATGTTAAAAACCACTTTCAACTGCAACAAACCTCTGCCTCCATTTCCTCCCCTTCCTCTTTAACTTCCTCCTCTTCCTCACTTCCTTCAAACTAGGAGTTGCAGTAAAGAGGCAACAAAGGTTTTGTCTTGTTGCTTCATTCAGATAATTGTGCAGTGGTTTTTTCAAAGTTATTTTTAAGGCGTATATGCAGTCATGTTTTACATGTTTGCATATGCAGTGGACTTGCCTGCCATGCTAGCGCGCTGTTCTTCAGCTAGAAAAGCAGAGAAAAGGTAGAGAATGTCTTTCTCCAGCCACAATTACAAGAACTGACTTTATATTGAGTTAAAACGTGGATACTATCAGAGAAAAACAAAATATTACCATTTATTTTTGGTCTAGTTTATTGTTCAAGTACATTTGGACACTTAAAATGAAACAAAACTAATTTACAAGTAACTTTTTAGAAAGATATATGAGCTTGGAGGGAGTTTGAGATGCATTAAGTCTTAGATTATTCTTCCTATAAAGGAAAACCTGCAGATTTGTCCGCACAAAAACTTTTGAATTTCATATTAAAATGTTAATTTAACAGAGTGATTCGTATTTTCCCAGGCAGGCTTAATTTTCTTTTATATGATTTCAACATGGTGCATTTCCTAACAATCAATAACAAATCAAATTGATATGATGTCAAAACTGGAATCTATCACTAATTTGAACACTTGACCCTCAACATCAATGTTGGAGAAACGTTATCGTCATTGATAATGTAATAACAGCAATAGTGTTACAACAACACTATTAAGTAATAGTGTTGTTGTAATTTCAAGGCTGCTGTTTCTCTGTCAGATTCCCTCAGGTCTCCACAGCAGAGAGATGGATCACGGCGCTCTTCCTCCACCTCCTCGCCGCGCCCCATTCTCATCCTCCACCATTTCATTTCAATCATCATCCTGAATTTAAAGTCAGAGTCAGATCAAGAGCAGAGAGGACAAATGCAAACAGAAGCTGGGAGTATGGATCATATTGAATGTTTTGAAACCTGAAAACACACAGAAATCACAAGGAGCCAGAGCAGACCAAAAACAGGAACCAGGAGCAAAAATAAGCAGAATATCAAAAGGCAAGTAACCAGGATATGATGGGATTTAAGAGAAGGAACAGCAATAAGAGTGAGCAGGAGAAGAGAATAAATACTGTGAGGGTGAATGCTGGAACAAAAGACCTGGGCTGATTAACAGGTTGGAGGAAAGAGAGAGAGAAAATGGCACAGGGGGCAAAGAAGAGAACACAACAGGGAAACTAGAAAAAAAAACCAAGATACCACATTGTAACTGGACCTAAGAAACATAAAATAGCAAGAATAACAAGATATTAAAGTAAAAATAGAAACAAGACTAATCTAATTAAAGAAAGGAACGAAGGACTGCAGAATAACCAAACCTCAAATTCAACTCAAACCAACCCAGGTCATAACTGCTGAACAAGGAAACATGATGAATCCAGCTGAAATAGCTCCTGTCCAGCCACTCAAAGACAAACCTCCAAACATTGTAAGTGAGCTGAGCCGGTTTCCTGTCATACAATCGGTCAAACATCCCAAACTTTTTCAGGATGTCCAAACTGCTTTACCAGATCCTGACCCGGCCCAAAGACCAGCTGCCACCACTCATGTGCGCCTAGTACATAGGTGTCAAACTCTGGCCCGCAGTGTAATTATATTTGGCCCGCGAGGCAATTTCAAATCAATATTAGAGCCGGCCCACCGGTATTATACGGTGGCAATGCGGTGACGCCACATTCACCGGTTATACTACGAATCCATAATGCTCTGCTGTTTTTTGGTGTGTCAATCAGGACAGAGGCAGCAGTGGCGGAGCCAGAGGGTGGCCGGGGTGGCACTTGCCACCCCCAACAGAGCCCTTGCCACCCCTACTGCCACCCACTGGAAATGGTCATTTTAAAATATAATACTTATGAGATCGGCAAAGATTTGCCAGGAAAACTGTAATTTCCGACTGTCCCTGAAGGCAGCCCGATGCCCGACGCTGTCCATTGGTTAAACTGACATGTTGGTTCCTGCTTGATCCAAAACACATCAACGGCTTTAGAGTTACACCGTCCAGGAGTTTTGCAGGTATTTACATTTTACCGCTCAGCAGTAACCGCTGTTACCTTCCTAATGAGAGGCGGCACTTGTCATACATTTCTAAAAAGAAACAAAATGGTTGTGCACCGCTGCATAGTGCCTCGTTTATTATATTAGCCATGCTAGTGCTGGTAGATCGTGTTTTAGACAGATTCTTTTTAACATGTTTTAGTGACATGCTGCCCTCTAATGTTTTATTTCTCCCAGCTCTTGCTTGAAATGTGTGGAAAGAATATGTGAAAAACCATTAAGTTTTATAATGACTGAAATGTAAGTAGGCTATGTCATATGAAAGCTTTGAATTATAACCTAACTAGTTACATTAATTAATTTTAAACGAAAGGAAAAAATATTTGTTTCCTTTCGTTCCATGGAACGGTCCATTTGTATATGGACCCCTCTGATAAAGCCTTGCTCACCCTTTGGCCACCCCTTGAAAAAAAGTCTAGCTCCGCCACTGAGAGGCAGAGACGCCTTCTCCTCTGTGTCAGTCGCACTTATGGTAGCGGACATGGGTGTATTATGAAGGTGGTGATCCGTCTTCTTGCGCACCAGCACTTACCTATGTGAGCAACTTTTCTCCTCAATGAAAATGACGAAAACATCTCACAGGAGACGTCTGACTGACGAACACCTTTTTTTCGATAATGAATCGTTTCGTCAGCTCAAACCACGAGGCCCCACATTGATGAACTCAATGTCATTAATGACAGGTATTTGGCTTGGCCAACGATCAGTGTGGCGCAAAAAGAGCAATAAATAAGTTTACTATGCACCTTTTCTTGTTACGCAAAGGCCTGAATGGTTTATTCATAGTTTATTTAATGATTTATTTTCAAATTTATTAGCCTGTGTACGAACCTAATTTTGACATTTAGGTCAGAAAGGAGCATAAAATTTTTATTTAAATTTTATTTAATATGTTTAATATTTTATTTCATATATTAAATGTATTTTATTTATTATATTTTATTTAATATAATAATATGTTTTATTATTATTAGCAACTCAATTTTGCACACCTGCTCTTTTAATTTAGATAAGCTTTGCTTATTCAATATTTATTGTTATATAAGAACTTGTTTGGGTCCATATTAAAAGATTCATTTGTTCAACCTTGGCCCGTGACTTTGTTCAATTTAAAGTTTTGGCCCACTGTGTATTTGAGTTTGACACCCCTGGCCTAGTACAAAAAAGGTGCAAAAAATCAAAAGATGACACAACTTAACACACTCATAAGAAGGAGCAAATATTCACACCCCTTTATTAAATCATGAACTAACTGTGATTAAACCACATGTTTTTAGGAATCTGAGCTAATTTTCCCAGTGAATCCAGACCTGATTATTATCTGACCTGCATATACAATAAATTATTTTAATAGAACCTCTCTGATGGATGATGGTTTATTTTTGGTCTAAGAATAAAATGTTTTTGTAAGGATCATGTAATCACATCCTGGAAAATCCTTCAGAGTTTATCTTTGCTCTAAAGTTATGAAAACCCGAAACCTCTCCCTTTTTAACAGAGATCAATAACCAAACACTCTGATCTTTGCTTAATCTGCCAGTTTGACAAATATAAATGAACATCGCTTCAAAATGTGTGTATTTTATTACTTCTGAGTGGGAAAGTGTTTCTGAAATGGAGCAGGAAATACATTTCATAACAGCTGATTTGCATGTGATCAAGACAAGAAGGCAGCGGTCAACACACACACACCCAGTGGTGTGTTCACACACACTCTGCAGAACTTTGTGTTCATCAGGAGGTCGATTGTTTCAGGTTTGAGCTAAAACAGAAGCAGCAGCACTTCCTCTACAGGAGAAAACACACGAGGTCATGAGGTCAAGCTTTGTGACAGTAAATAAATCACATGAATAATCTCTTGGTTTGCTAATTATAATAAAACATGATATTTATGTTATGAACAATTAAATAATTTTAGCTTGGATTGGCTCTGAACACATCATAAATCACTGATTCATTATAAAAACTTTGACTAGACTCAGAGTAGACTTATGTAAATATA